CCCCCTTTTCCTGATGACGACCGCTTGTGTTGTGATCGAAACGTCGTGGTTTTTGTTTTTATTTTATTATATTTTTATTATATTTAAATTACTGAAATAACCAAGAATAAGTATAGATTATAGACTGCCAGTACGCTCACTCAGGTTAAGAACCAGGCTACAGTCTACATTATAGACTGGCAGTACTCACCAAACTTAATAACCATTGCTACAGTCTACATTATAGACTGCCAGTACACTCACTCCGATTAAGAACCAGGCTGCAGTCTACATTAGTGTTTATTTGTTGTCTATTATTTTTTTCTATCTACGTGACTTTACCGAAAGGAACAAGGAATAATCACGAGAGTGATTGTGAAGAACACCCATGGTGTATGGTGTTATCGAAACAAGGTTTTAGTCCACTAACCTAGAACCGGAATGCAAGCGTGAACTCCGCTTGGCACCAGGCACCAGTCACCAGAAGTCACAGTGTGTGCCTTTAAACAAATGCGGCCGGTCAATTTCAGACGGAAAGCCAATAGGCTAAAGTACAGGGGTGTCTGTAAAGGTATTTTATCATCCATTGTTAAAGAGTTATAATTACACTAGTTTGAGCATGCTCAATAAAACTACACACACACGTGGTATGGTGAAGGTTTTATCTACAAGTTTTAGTGTTTTACCCCTCTAAACCTTCATGTACCCACCGTGGCATTCGTGCCACACGTTGCATCGAGATATGAGAGTCCCAGATGTTCAGCAACATCTTGTCTATGATAGATTCGAATGCTTAAATATTTTCAGTTAAAAAAACCCCCATAAGTATGTAAGGAATATGTTGCCAGCATTTCACCTGCACATTTCAAACTGTCTGATCATAATTATTTCAGATTGGAAGATACTTTTATAGATGCATAAATGAAGGGGATACTACTTTCAATTTAAAGTAGTAGCCCTTCAGATCAGATAGAGAGGGCAGCTATAATATTATTGTTATATCTCTTCTTAAGGAGGGCTCGTGGACAAAGGCAGGCAGTAAATCTGGCTGGCTGAGAGGGCAAAAAGATCAAACTTGTCTCATTGAGCCGTACGACTAATCACCACTCTTTAGCCTCTGATCTGGTGTTTGTATTGGCCATTGTAGTAATTCAATGGTGGTGGTGCATGCCTGTAATCCAGCACTGGATGCAAGGGTAGGTGGATCACTGCACAAATGTTGTGGTACTCTCTTCCCATGGATGTCGAGGAGCCATACCCAGGAGAAGACAGTACAGCGAATGAGCACACACTCCGTTCCATCTGTATGGGGTAGTGTTGCCCCTTCGCACGCGTGAGTTTTCTCCACGTGTTCCTGTTTCCTCCCACATTTTTAATATATATACAGGACCACAGAGCTTGGACAATAGTTAGTGCTGGCTCGTCGCTTAGCTGCCTTTCTTTTTGTCTGGTGTTCCGCGTGCCTCTGAGCCATTCTCCGTCTTGGAGAGTGATTGAATACTATGTAACGTGTTACAAGTTGACATTATTATTGTTGTCGTTATGTCAAGGCAGGATGCCAAAAACAGCACTTCTGTTTCTTTGTTTGCGTTCGCTGCTGTTAAGCATTCCTGAATGAAGCTTCTCCCAATTCGGTTTCACCTCGACGTATTTACGCAGCCTCGTGCATCGCATGCGTCAGTGTGGTGCATTTTAATGAGCTTTCACCACTAGACAGCGGACAATTTGAAAACGTTTAAATTGCTCCATTGAGACGGCTGCGTCGGATTTAATCGAGCACTAATTACCAAAGCAGGTTGTAATGGGCGGATCCTACTGCTTCTTAACCGCCGGAGAGATTGTGTGAGTTCAAGATAATTTAAGAGTCTTGTTTTCTGAACGAAGCTAGGCTGATTCTTAGGCCCTTGCAATTTAAGACTTCAATTGCTAAGGTCCCTGGCATGTGAATGTTAAATTTTCCCTGCTGACTTGGGACCAAGAGTGGAAATAACAAAGTCCAAAGCTAATTCCAGCGGTGGTAATGTTGGCATTCATTAAGACCACAATACAGCCTGACATTATGAACAAGTGCTTCATGAGTGGAGTGATCGGTAGTGGTTCATGTGCTTCACTACGAACCTGGTCATCCGAGTTTGATTCCTTGCCATGGCTAATATAAGTGGTGAGTGATATCTGAATCAGTCCTCTCCTTCAGCTGCCCACACTCACCAACGTGGTGAAGTATGGTTAAAAACAAACACACCCCTCATAACCAAGGTCACTGAGGGAGGCCTTCCATTGATGGCTCCAGGATGGGTGTAATTTATTTTATTCTAAGGGTTTTTTGTTCATGTTTAGGCTCCGCGTAGGAATTGTCTGAGTTCCCTGTGCTTGGGACTTTTGGTATTAGCTTGGGGTAATTATACAGTAACACGCCGAGGAATGCGGCCAATTTAACAGCAGCTTGGATTTAGTGTGAGATAATGGATTATTGACATTCGCTCAGGATAACATCGACTCTCAGGTCATCGAGTGCTTTCTTAATAATTAGCGGGGAGCCACTTGATTGCAAATGCATTTTACGAATACGCAGGTCAAGCAAGTGACGATAAACATTGTACAGCGCTTTCTGTTAATCCACTGCTGGATGAAAATCCCACCCCCGCATCGCCGTGCAGGTCGTTGGGGTTATTGGACCGTACCTGGTGGCCACGTCGGTCAATGCGGGGAGCATAGATGCCGGAGAATAGACGTGCAGTACAACAGCAGGTTTGGCTGTATGGCCCTTCTGCTGCTCACAACACAGCCCCATATATATGTGTGTGTGTGTGTTTACATTTAAATGTATCTACGGAGATTTGTGTCGTTCTGCTGAGGTACAACACCTGACCCCCCGCCCTCACTGCGTGGTGTCTCTGTGCACCGGGTGAAGTTCTTCTTGAAGTTAGGCCAATGGACGGCGACATGGACTTGAAAAAAAATCAGTTTTTATTTAGGTGAAAAAAGACTCTTCCTGTAGAAGACTGTACAGCAAGTAGATTTCCGATGCACCATATCTGCCGATGGTCTGTTTATTTTTTTTGTTGCCAACCACTTAGCTTTCCTCTTAGACTGAAAATACATTCCTGTTCTAGAACCGATTCTTACACTCGCGACGCATGCATCTGTCTAATTCTGGGTGTGATAATTGTTTTTGTTTCAATGTGCACTTATTTCATGTCATCATGTCACGTGATCCCTGCAGCCACTAGAGGCACAACGATGCCCCCCCCACCCCCAACAGTGTTGAAGACAAAAATCATTTCCAAAATAAAATCGTGACTCCCTATATCGCGATGATCCATCGAATCGTGAGAGAGATTAATCATCTTACTTGCCTCATTGGTAACAAGTCAGATGTTGGTAGCTGCATACAGAGTTCTTATTGTGACTGCGACTGTGAAACCTGTGGTTGAATCGAACCCTCACCACTGTTATCATTCAAGTATAATGTAAGTTAAAACTTTGCCAGATGGTGCTGTGGTTAGTCTGTCTGAGTAATAAATCCTGGTTTTAAACCAGGTGCTCGCCCATTCGAGACGGCTCTCTCGGGAGGCCGGTCTCACGAAAGAAAATACAGCAGCAACACGGCAGTAAAATGCCATTTAAAAAAAATAACGTGAATCATTTAATATATAGATTTCAGTCCCCTTATACATCCACAACTGGATGAATGTCTTACCACCATGCCTTGTTGTCAATAAGGCAAACGTCCAGTATAAAGTTTAAAACGGAAATTAAGAAATTATTTGCACGTCATTTTAAGCATCCTAATTCAAATCCCTGTTGAAGATGAACCCAGCTTCTCAGCTGTCTGGGGTCAATAAAGTAAGTACCACGTTTTGGGAAGTCAATGTCATTAACATTGCCTTGTTAGAGATGAACGTGTAGTTTGCTAGAGGCAGTGTCGAGGCGTTGGTGAGGCACTGTGTTGATGAGGATTGATAAGGATTGTGAAGATGTTGATTTAGTTAGTGTTTGGAGACCACTGCCAATGCAGTGTCTTGCAAGAAACACTTAACCCAAAATATAAACAACTCTTATAGTGTAGCTACTTATACTTTATGTATGTTTAACTTCTTTCGTACTGTAAGTAGCCAATCGTGCTAATCGGAGGTGCGGGGTAGGACAACAAACAAAACACAAAAAGCAGTTCTAAAGAAATACGTTTTCAATCTAGACTACTTGTGTGCGGCCTCGGCTTTATCACACAAGTTTGAACCTTCGTAATGATGTAAAGGCTTAAAATACAGGGCAAATACTGTATTTTAGCTAGGGCTGCCAAACCTCTAGTTTTAAACCTTACTCGACACTGCCCGTTCCATGAATCCGGATTTAAAAAGTCAGATTGGTTTTAGCACTTTTGAGGTATACACAAAAACACGGTAGGGGGCACGCTTTATAAAACCCGACTCTACTGGCCCACTGTTTTCCCACTTCATACAATTCTGCTCTTAAACATTGATTGAGAAGTCCAGCAGCTGTTTTAATGAAGGAGGCCTCAAGGTGATGCCAGATGTCCACAAAATAAGAGCTGTTCGTTTTTTTGGGGGGGGAGGGGGGGTGTGTGGGAGGGTTCTTCCCCTTAAGTTTACTTTGGTGATGTCTCTTGTGTGTACGTGTCTCTTGTGTGTACGTGTCTCTTGTGTGTACGTGTCTCTTGTGTGTACGTGTGTGTGTGTGGGGAGCGCTTGTGTCGCTGTTATCGCACTGTGCTACCAACCTCGTGACCCAGTTTCTATTCCCGCTCCGTCAACACCGGTGACGATTATTTGAACCAGTCCTCGGCCTCCCCTAGTTCGACTGGGCCTCAAATGAGTACCTGGTGCAGTGTGTAATCATTGCCACAGTGGATACAAAGGCGGCCGGGCGTTGTATTGGCCACCCACCCCCTCGCAAGGTGTGCCCACCTTCATAGGTGCTCGCTAACAGCAATTGCCCCAACAGTCTGTTCAGGCTTTACGGGGGGGATCTTTGTTTTGTGTGCGTGTGTACGTGTGCAGGTTACGCTCACTGGCGTGGCCAAGTCCTCAAGTCCGACGAGCTCAAGGAACTGTACCAGGGCCTCCGGCTCAACGATATCACACGCTATGACTATGTTCTCACCGGTGGGTCCGCTCGCCGGCTGCGCTACGGTGGCGAGATGTTAACTGCCTCGCCTGGTATAGAGGAGGTCGTGGGTTAGATCCTGACCCTGACGCCTGTATATTTGGAGTTTGCATGTTCTCATCGTTTTTTTTCCCACCACATTTAGAAACATGCCTTTAGAGTATGTGTCTGCTATACATTTCCACATGATAATCCACTTTATTGAGCTATCATTTGTGGCCAGCTCATTACTTCAATACCACCGCGAAAATCTGGAGAAAATATTCTTGCTCCAACACGTGACTTTGGTCCCTGACTCACAAAGGTATGGTGTTGTCGTTTGTAGCCGTTTCTTTTTTGTGACAGCAACTGGGGTGCCACAGTACCCTCGCTTCCGTCAAATCACATGGTCACTTTAATGAGCTCTGAAATGCTTAGCCACACCTTGCCCTAAAAAAAAATCTGGTTGTCAGTACCCTGAGTGATACCGCAGTCATCTGCAATGATCTGCAGTGGTGTTGATCTGCTTCACTACGTTCGCTGCAATGCACAATTGTCAGCAGAATATCGCCCCTTGCCATCGCAGAAGTCAGCATTCTGTAAGTGAGATGGGGGCCGTCTTGGTCCCACACAGCACTGAAATGTTTATGTGAGCAATTACATTACCCATTTTTGTTGTTGTATAACCCGTTGGATTCTCCACGGTGCGCCGGCTGCCACGCCTCCTTCAATAATTTAACGGAGGTGTCAAATGAGACTCGTAAGGGAAAAGCCCTGCTTGAGACATGTTCAGGGATGATTTAAACTGTGGCACCAGCAGTTTATTTAGAGGTTATGTAACCAGAGCCGCCACACACAGGCTGCACCGCTGGGCTCATGTTATTTTATTTGAACCAAATCCCAAGGTGGCTCAGGTCAGAGCGCTGAACCATCAGCCTTACATTCTGGGTCAACACGTGGGTTTCCTGTAATTAAACCTTATTCTCAAGTGTAACGAGTTGATGCTCTCAACCACCACCCCCCCCCCCCTCCTGGTCCCTGATGTTTGCGTAAAAATTCGGGTTTTCGCTTCCTTTGGCTAAATTCTAGCTCAGCTAATTACAAATGTCTATTTGGCTCTCATGCGACGAGCGATCTCATAGCAGAGTGTATGAGAGTGCACAACACCTATTGTAAAGAGGAAAAAAAGGTCACTTGCAGGATTTTTGCTGGGAAGTCGCGCGGATATTACCTGCTGCTGCCGTTCTCTGATACTCGGTCCGCACTGCTCGGCGAGATTTCCGATGGGATTCTTCGTATATTATAATGCCGTTAGCGCAGTTGCAATAAATCGTGGGAAAATATATCAAAACTCAAATGATAACTGAATCCCGCTCTGACAGGTTCTGGTTCTCTCTCGTGGAATGAAACTCAAAGCTTTTGCAGTGACATCAAACTCGCAGCAGCGGCTTTTGGCTCGCCATCGAGCAAAGACGGTGGTCACTGCATCGCATGCTTTCAGATGCTCTTCTGCAACTGTCTGGAATACTCTTCCTTCCGATATAGGAAGCCACTGGAGCTGTGCACTTTAAAGTCATCTAGCTTAACAAACTCATTTCTTTAGAACTGCTTTTTGTGTTTAGTTTGTTGTCCTTCATCCGCACCTCCGATTAGCACGATTGGCTACATCATACACTCGCACTGCCGCTGACTCGCTCACACATCATACACTGACTCACTCATCATGCGCTGACTCCCACATCATACACTCACTCACGCTGCTGTTGACTCACTCACACATCATACACTGGGAGTGTCGTGCTGCCAGCTATGGCTGCAGGCTTTGACGTACGTGTTATGTATAACGTTTATTGTTAAATTTAAAATCACAGTTCCTATGATTACTGTTGTTACATTGTTTTTATAGGTTTATTTTGGTATTAAAAAACATGGTTAATCTAAATTGTCTTATGGTTGTTGTTGTTGGCTTGCACCACATTGTGATTTTTGCACACAGCGTTTTAATAAGCTTTTTTTTGTGTGGAATATCTGCTGGTTTATTCCAGGATGTTTCTGTTGCGCGCCGTCGCTTTGGGAATGTTCTGTGTTCAAATTTTGTTTGTTGCGGTTGCACCCGACTTAAGAGCCGCATGGCTCACAGGGCTATACCTAATAAATGAAACTTGAAACGGTGTGAAAGAAGTTCAACATACATCTGTAACATTTCCTTGTTTCACTCTATGCTGTCATAAAAGCTGTGCTTTAAATGTATGTGTAAATATGCATTCTATGTATTGCTTCTAAAAGTGTTGGTTCAACATGCAGGAATGCTGGTGGCTTCTCGAGAGCTTTGTGAGACTTGTCGATGTGCGTCTGGTTTTTGACAGGCTACACAGCTGACAAATCCTTCTTGGAACAGCTGGTGGGCATTGTGAAGGATTTAAAAAAGCAGAACCCCAAAGTTATTTACGGTAAGCGAAACAGCTTTGTTGCCAAGTAAAACCTTGCTTCCACATTTATACATTTTGTCCATTCCCCCTCTTTTGAGAGATCAAAGGTGCAGTCTGATTCACCAGCCCAAGGAAACCCTGCTGCATCATGGAACCTCTCTTGCCAGTATCAAAATATAAAAATAGGTTTTACCCTTTCTAGCAATAAAACAGTTGTGTTAAGATGTTAAAACAACAAACTGAAACCTTTTGCAAGCAATCATGTCTGCATTAGCCACATATAGTTGTGGTGAACATGCAAACAAAACATGCTCTGATATTATATGCATTGTCTTTGCAACTGATTGGTCTACACCATTTCGTGAGTCAAGTTCCATGCTGAAATTTGTACCCCCTTCAGTTAATGTGACGCAAGGCTGTCGTGAAGGTGCTCTATCACACGTGGGTTTAGTCTCACCAGTAGGGGGCAGCGTTGCTATACAGTAGGAGTCACAAAGCCATCAATGGGCCGTTTTGAATGTTCCTCGAGGTGTCGCGATCCATCGCCCCTAGCCAGGCCTCCTGGATAGGAGGTGATTAGCACCAAGAGGCCCGGTATCAGGTGCTAATCACCTCCTCCGATTCACACGGTTGGCTATTTATGGTGCGAAATAATGTAAACATAGGCATATTCACGTTGAGCACGTAATTTGTGAGTAACTTCTCAAATTCGGCTAATTTGTGACTGACACATTTTATAAACATCAGTCTAAACTATAAAACAAATGTCCGGACCTTCTGGGTTCACCCAAATGTGTCGAAAGGAATTTAATATTCTAAGCGGATGTCCATAAGGTCCAAAATATCAGCTTAATAATCCAGCACGTCTCATGAAGCTGCCAGAATAACCTGGCTAATACACATTTTTTCCAACTCTGCTCTTAGGCAGCAACATATTTTATTTTACAAATAGTGTACACATGAGGGAAGTGTTCCTGATTTTTGGGTTAATAAAAAAAATCCGAAAATCACACATGTATATATATTTGGATGTCTCAAAAAGAAAATTGTTTATTGTTGATCGAAAACTATGACATCGTGGGAGGTGACGTCACATTTGCACTTTTCCTGCTCGATATGCACGAAGACACGTGAAATGACTACATGATGTACATCATCCAAATATCCCAACATATGGGAAATCTAAATTCTATTTTATTTACCTGAAACTCATTCTAATGCAAACGCGCATGCACACAGTGTCAGACTTTTCAGCTCACTGCTACCACTTGTTGGTGGGTTACGGAAGTTCCGCTGAGCGATATTATAAATATATTTGTGACTTAAACAATCTGTCACCCCCTTTTTTTTTTACAAATGCTGTTGTTAATCTACATAATACGCAGTGTGGAAGCTGGACTGAAACTTGAGTTGCTGGTCCTACAGGACTCTGTCTGAAACTTTTGATTAAATCAGATTTTAAACTGCCCCTTCCTGAATGTTCTTTCTGAGCTCTAATTGCAGGAGTATTTCTGTTTGATCGATTATGTGTTTTGTGATGTCTCACCACAACTACAAGAGCACATACTCTTTGGTTCTATTCGGTAAAGTCACGTAAAAAACAACAAAAAATAAAAAATTCACGACGTTTCGGCCACAATACAAGTGGCCTTCATCAGGTGAAGGGACCAGACTGTCCAGCGCTATCCTCTAGAGTCTAGACAGTCTGGTCCCTTCACCTGATGAAGGCCACTTGTGTTGTGGCCAAAACGTCGTGAATTTTTTTATTTTTTGTTGTTTTTTACGTGACTTTACCGAATAGAACCAAAGAGTATGGATCCTTGCAGTCACGAAAGCTTCAAATCTAGAATACAAGAGCACATTTTGCCATCGATGAGCTTTTAAGGAGAAGATTAAGCATTTTTGGCATATGCCAACAGCAGTAATAAAAAAAGATTGATTAACACCTCTCAACTTGCACAGATGCAACGATGCAAGACTCACCACAGTAATAATTGACCACACGTACACTTTACAAATAGACATGATATGTAAAGTGTAAATGTTTTGAACCTTAGCTCCTTCAGAGTACTGTTTTGCGCTTAGTTTTGCACTCTTTGGTTGGGCCTTAATATTTCAACCTTTAATTAGCGTCTCATTAATCAAACCTTGCAGTTGTCATTTTATTTAATTGCCAAATGTGTTTTATGAATGGTTCGTACACACGTGTGTGCACGCTTGCGTACACGTGTGTGTGTGTGTGCAGGTGTGTTGTTGAACGACAGCGCAGTAGTTATCACTATGAACCTGGCGGCACGAGTTGGATTCCCACTCACGGCCAACAATCAGTGACGAATATCTGAACCGATGCTGGGCCTCCCCTAGGTCAACTCGGACTTAAATTAGTACCTGGTGCAGTGTGTATGAAACATCAGTACTTGGGAGACAAAGGCGGCCGGGTGTGGATCTGGCCACGTGGCTCCCTCGTGCTGCATGCCGGATTTCGTCGGTGCACTTGCCCAAACCAACAGCAGACACGGGAGATCTTTGTCTTTATCTTTGTGTTCGAACTTGCTTTTGCATTGCAGTCTGCGACCCAGTCCTGGGGGACAAGTGGAATGGCGAGGGATCTATGGTGAGGCTGGGGCACGTCTCTCCCGCGGCGCGCCCGGCTAGTTTAAGTAAAACGATCGTCCGCGTGCCATCTGTCCACCGGGCCGCGACATTTTGCGCGTCCAGCTGCGATGTTATTGTTCCAAAACTGCCTGCCGTAGCTGGCTCGTTTGCTTTTACTCCAGGACCAATTCAGCAAAACATTCCTTTATTTTGGCGTGCGCTGCACTACCCACGCGTTTCAAAGGGGCGGGCGGCGCAATAACCGCACGCTGATTTACGAACGAACTGAGCGGCCGAATGCAGTGCCTCTTTCACCATAATGTGGCTCGGGTCATAAGTGCGGAAAGATATATACGTCGAGCATAGTAATGTTTATGAAAGGTGTGTTATCACTCTTGATGGTTTACAGCCTGCGTGTACCCCTTTGTCTGAATGGTTTATAATAATTTGTAGACTGTTATTGTTGCAATATACACTGTCATTGGTGCTATTACAATGCTTGCTTTCATCATAATTCTCTGGGTTACTTGATTCAAAACTTTGGACCATGTAGTAAACCACTGTATTCTGCACTCATTTCACGGAGGAGTTCCAAAACTACACGAACCATCTCCTGAAGCCCTCTTGTGGCTATCAGACCTCGACATTGGCATTAGCTCCTTGAACATATTGCTGCCTTTCGCAAGAATATAATAGATGCGATTCTGTACCGCTTGTTGTTCGGCACGTGTACGATATTTCACCCCACGTCCTGTGGGAGCTTTTTCGGGAAGTTTTTCCGACACCGATTCAGGTCCTGGGGTCTCGCCTAGTTGACTCAGCCCTTGACACTGTACCTGAGGCAGTGTGTAAATGTCAGCACAGGGGAAACAAAGGCGAGCGGGTGTGACGCTGGCCACACCGTATGTACGTTCGTTGAACTTCTTCCGCACCGTACGTAGTCAACTGTGCTAATCGGGGGGGGGGGTGTATGGGAGCCACCACACCCATCGTGTGCCTCACCGTCCTTCACAGGTGCTGCTCGCAAACAGCGCTTGCACTGACAAATGGCTTTGTGCCGGGGGGGTCTTTGTTGTTGTTGTTGTGTGTGTGTACTTTCGTGCGACGCAGTACGTTCCGGAGGAACTGCTTCCTGTCTACCGAGACCAAGTGGTTCCTCTCGCCGACATCATCACCCCCAACCAGTTTGAGGCCGAGTGCGCACTGCATCCACGCCTTTGCCATGGTCGCTTTCCTTGCCGGATTCGTTTGTCTTCTTACATTTCTACCCTAAACGTTTCCTGTATGACAAAAAAAATATATTGATAAGAACTATGAACTAGCTGAGTTTTATTCAGTTGTGGACTTTAGTGGGAAATGTTTTTTTTTTTTGCGACAGATTATCTTAGTGCAATAATGCATCTGCCTGGAATCGTTCATCCATCGGCGTCGGTTCTTGTCGCTCACTATATCCGCGTTGAATTGTGTACGAAAGCATCTCTTTCCTTGGTTTATGCAAATAACTTGATAATTATATAATATGCTTAGCTCTTTCGGTAAAGTCACGTTAAAGGGAAACAATAAAATATATATAAAACAATAAAAAATTCTCACGACGTTTCGACCATAACACAAACGGTCGTCATCAGGTGTGAAAAGCAACGGCAAGAAACATTTGAAAGAAGTGGCGGTTTGTATTTATTTATTTTTTGGCGGTGCTTTTATTAAAAAAAACGTTAGCGCCACGGGCAGCGATTTGGCAGAAACGGACCTGGATCTTGTGTAATGTAGGGTAAAGTGATGGTTTTGAAAGGCTCCTCACATTACATAAAATCCGTGATCTGGTTCCGTCTGTAAAATATGTGATTCCGGACATAGAGTACCCTGGTGTCTACAAACTAAGTTGCCTCTGTGGTAGTAGTTACATTGGAGAAACCAAACGCCATGTCTCGGACCGCATTCGTGAACACAAAGCAGACCTTAAACACAGTAGGACCAACACATCGGCCGTGGCAGATCATTGTTATAATTCAGTAGGCTCACATGACATTGACTTCTCCAAGTCAGAGGTTCTTTGTAAGCCATCTGGCTACCATGAGAGATTCGTTCATGAGGCTATCCACATATACAAGCACAGAGACAATTTCAACCGAGAAGATGGATTCTGGCTTAGCAATCATTGGAAGGATTTGATAAACCATTTCAGGTCTTAATTGATTGTTCACGCTTACGGTGGCTCTCAGACAGCATACATTAATTTTTCCTCTCCCCCCTCCTCTTTTCAGAACATAGATGGACTCGTCTTTCTAAATAAACTGCCAAATCTCTGCCCGTGGCGCTAACGTTTTTTAAAAGAAATAAATACACCGTTTAAAAAATAAATAAATGCAAACCGCCACTTCTTTCAAATGTTTCTTGCCGTTGCTTTTCACACCTGATGATGACCGTTTGTGTTATGGTCGAAACGTCGTGAGAATTTTTTATTGTTATAAATATTTTATTATTTTATTTTATTATTTTATTGGTTTATTTTTTTATTGTTAACGTGACTTTACCGAAAGAGCTAAGAATATGAATTACTGCAGTCACGAAAGCTTTAAATCAAAATTATATAATACTGTTACTTGTAGGCTTGTAAAGTGAATGTACGAACGACAGAGAAATTGACGAAAAAACTATGCACGCCAAATGGTAAAAGCAACCCAGAATCAATCATTTCTCGAATCAAATTACAACCACATCTCCACAATTATCTGAACCACCTGGGAGATTAATCAAAACGTATGTAATTGTTCAATGCATGTAAAAAAATATTAATGACCAAAATGTGTTCATTTCTAGGAAATCCTTCATGTGTCCATTTTGGTCAAATTCTCCTGAGCTTAGGATATTGTTTCTTGACACTGAACCTAAAACCCTGAAACACGGCTGACGAGAACGCGTCTTTCTGTACAGGCTCCTAACAGGAAGGACTTTAAACACCGAGAAGGAAGCTCTGGAGGTATTTTAATGTCTCACGAAACATCTTGCACAACTCGCGGAGCGGTGAAGTGCCAATGCAGGTTCTGGCCAAGTGGCGCGGTTCGGAGCACCCGTGACACATTCACATGCTAGCTTTTCATTTTCAAGCCCAGTCAGGCGTTGGCGGCTCGGCCTATGATGATCATGCCGGTGTTGATCAATAAATACCGATCTAGGAAATATTTCAAAGTGTCAGACATAAAAAATCTTGACCATTCCAGATCTGAGCTGTATAATGGATGGGGCAGCACAGTCAACCTGAACAATGCAGCAGTGTCCTGACATTCCGTGCTCGTGTAGGTGTGCGTGGCACGCGAGTTAGTAGTAATTAAGCCTGGCATAAGCACCGCGGTGACGTCACCGCCACCTAGTGGCGAATGGCGGTTGTTGTTCTGTGTTCTGTGAGGAGCGACAATCAACAAGTGGAGGCGCCAGGTGGCTAAAACACAGCAAGTTGACACAGTAGGGGGCCACAGGTCGTGCATCGGCCAGTCATCTTAATCGGTCAACCCATGGCACCTGGGTTTGTCCGGTGACCTGCCAGCGGGTGTTTGACATTTCACGTGACCTTAATGTACACATAGCCTGGCACAAGTGTTGTGGTGACGTCACTGACACTTAGTGTTGAATATCTGAACTGGTCCTGAGCCTCCCCTAGCTTGACACAGCCTCAAATAAGTGCCTGGTTCGGTGTGTAAGTCATCGCCACTGGGGAAACAAAGGCGGCCGGGCGTGGTGCTGGCCACCACCCCCTTATAGGCCGAGCCGGCCTTCATAGGTGCTCGCTAACAGCACTTACCCCAAAAGTCTATCAAGTCGAAACGTGGGATCTTTGTTTTTGTACACCCCTGCCTTGTGATTATCTGGGTGCATTTGCCAAATAATGACTGTCAGTTTATTCGGTGTCTCAACATGTTACAAAATCTAGATTTAAAACTAATTTCTTCAGAACTGCTTTTTGTTGTCCTTTCCCTGCACCTCCGATTAGTATGGTTGGCTATGTACAGTGCAAAATAAGTTCAAAATACATACGTACGTACGTTACGTAGGACTACAAACCAAGCGTAATTTCCATTGGGGGCAATCCCTCACACGGGGTGGAGAACAGTGTGGCTTCCGCAGTTTACACAGCCGGCTCCCCTGGACTCACGCGGTGAATAACGCAGGCGGAATGCGGTTTTGCCGTTAGGTCATGGAGGTACTGCACGCCATGGGGCCCCACACGGTGCTCATCACGAGCTCCGACTTCATTCCCAGCTGCGAAAACGACCTCCTCGTCGTGCTGGGAAGCCGCATCACCTGTGAGGATGGCGCGCACGTCGCACGATCATCTAGAGAGGCCTGCACGCACGTGTGCTCGGAGTAACGAAAGTTCCATACGCTTCCGCGGCAGCGTTTACCAACTTTACGATTTGCCATGCGGCTTATTGTAATCCCGTCGCGTGTGGACCTGCGTGGTTTGTGCGCTGTGCTATGAACCCAGGCGACTGGAGTTCGATTCCTGCTCATGGCCTACACCGGTGACGATTTTCTGAATCGGGTCTGGGCCTCCCTCAGGTCGACTCAGCTTCAATTGAGTACCCAGTGTGGTGTGTAAACATCGCCACTGGGGAAACAAAAGCGGTCAGGCGTGGTGCTGGCCACCCACCCCCTCATGTGCCGTGCCGGCCTTTATAGGTGCTCGCTAACAGCACTTACCCCAACAGTCTGGTAAGGCCATATGGGAGATCTTTGTCTTGGTTTGTGTGTTAACGCAGGCAAACCGGACGGTACCAACAGCAAGGAGAAAATCCGACTGGAAATCCCGAAACTCGACGCGGTGTTTGTTGGAACTGGGGACCTTTTTGCAGCCATGCTCCTTGCGTGGATCCACCACCACCCTGACAACTTCAAGGTGACGCGGCCGTGGAAAAAAAAAAGAGTTCCATCTCCGCGGCCCTTGCGTGAATCCGTGCATTGTGCAAGCAGGAGATGTGACCCAAGTTACTTCCTGTGGATGTGACATGTCAGCTTTTTGCGATCAATATTGCGATTTGTTTTGTTAAATGTATTGTACACCCACCTCCACCCGACACAGCCAATTAGTAAGGTTGACACGTGAACAAAATGCGGCAATTAGTTACTACTTCAGCGCACTGATTGTGTTAGACATCGTTGATTGATGAACTTAAAGTCATTGGTAAAAGTACAGCACGTGAATTAACACAGCTCGCCAATCTCCGTGCGATATATAGAATTATCCCACCACGATTCTATACATCGGTAGTGGGAAGCAGCCTGTGTCTCTCTACATGCGCCACCCTCTTTTGGTAGGGCACGCTGCCAGGATTCGTAGATGTCCGCTCCAAATTCCCGATCCTGTTTTGGAAGCCGAATGAATGGGACCTTTAAGTTGGCCATACATGATCGACTCAAGCATGTGTGCGGAAACTTACACCAAGCCTCCCTTGGACACTGGCCCACGATTCCACCACCGAGCTCACGCCACTTCATAGCAGTAACGGGCATCTTGTTAGAAAACACGACACGTCTAATTCACCGGAGATCCATTTGAAACCAGACTAAACTTTTTGTTTTACTAAGTAAGGCCCACTGAACTCTGTAGCTCTTTTTCAGAAGCGATATGGCCACAAATTATAGCTCAGCGAAGTGGGTTATGTGGAAATTTATAGCAGCCAAATACTCTAAATGCATGTTTCTAAATGTTGATTAAACCGGAGGACCCGGAGAAAAATCCGCGCGACCACGGTGGAGAACATGCAAACTCCATATATATAGGCATCATGATCGGAACCCACGACCTCCTGTATACAAGGCGAGGTAGTTAACATCTCGCCACCGCAGCACTCCCAAGACCACCCCACCCCCCCGTGCCCCACCAAGTCTTAAATTTACGGTAGCTGTGGTGGCCGGTTGGGCATGAGGCGCAGCTTGCAATCTAGTCAGTAGGAAGTGAGGATTGGCGGTTCATGCTGAGATGGTGCCTTTAGGAGATGACCGATGTTTGACCTCACCATGAGGGGTTTTCAGATTGTTTCCACCTGTTGTTTGGCGTGATGCCCGCCTTGTTACTCCTCGTGATTGGAGCTTCTATTCAGGTCGTATGATAAATAGATAGGGGCATTTTGTTCTACTTACAAAATTAAGTAGGTGTTTACCCGTGACAATGTAGACATTTGTGTATGTTGAGCATCTTTCGCACAGTACCTAGCCAACCATGCTAATCGGAGGTGCAGGGGATGGACAACAAACTGGACGAAAAAAGCAGTTTTTGTGTGCATGCGCCTGGCATTAAACAAATATCGATTGTAGTGCAGCGTTATCAGCATCGGGAAGACAATGGCGGCCTAGACGTGGTGGTTTTCAAAGGATAGAGCTCTCGACACGTGGAGCGAAACGTCGGACATTGGCGCTACACAACACGCGGTACAACCCGGAAACAAATCTGGGAGCTGTACGACACAAGCGCAAAAACCTACGCGTTGGTAGTGCGTGACCCTCGCCTCTTGTAAATTAAACGCCATTGTTTGTGTCCACAGCTGGCCTGTGAAAAAGCCGTGTCGGCTATGTCGCACGTTTTGAAAAGGACCCTGTCTTGCGCTCAAGGTACTGCTTTGGCGTGTGGTTGTGTAAAATCATTCATTATTCAACACCCTCGACCACAAGAACACTTAAAGAGCCAAGCGCCATTGCTAAACATTTAATTGCACTTTAATCCTGTTCATAAACATTATTTATCGAAAATGAAAGGAAAAATTCGTATTGAATAAGAAATTCTATGGATCATTCTAGAAGTGTTCATATATCTGTCTCTTTGTAAACAGAGTTCACGGAGATTTTTATGAAGTCCTGCATTTGTACACACATTGATTGTTGTGCCGCTGAAATTACTGCCAAGTTAAAACAAATGTCACATTGTGTCTCTTATCCGCGTGGTCTTATCTGAATACTGCCAGCCTTGACACATTTGAGGTCATAAAATGTGCAAAATCACCATAGGCGGAGAGAATGTTGATTCTCGCCGTCGCTCCGCGACAATCACTCTGCCTGCAGCCCAAGCAGGTGGTGGGAAGCCTCGCGTGGCGGAGCTGGAGATCAGGATGGTGCAGAGCAAGCGAGACATCGAGAATCCCAAGGTCCTCATCCAGGCCACCACGCTGTAGTAGTGCCCAGCCCACGCCGGCCTGCCTGGGGTGAGCTGCGCGTGACTCTGCCGGCCATCGTCACCTTTACGGTCATCCTCGAACATAGACGGTCACCGCATCGCGCGCTTTCAGATGCGCTTCCGTGGCTGTCTGGAACGCTCTTTCTTCCGATATTAGGAAGCCACTGGAGCTATGCACTTCTAAATTGAAATTGAAAATGTATTTCTTAAGAACTTTTTTGTTGTGTTTAGTTTGTTTCCCTTCCCCCAAACCTCCGATTAGCCACGGTTGGCTACGAACGGTGCGAAACAAGTTCAACATAGCAGGTGGTGGGACATACAAACATCTTCATCGTGAGCCAGTAATGAAGGACCACCGTGTGATGTAATAATTCGAGTGTCTGCGCACCACTTTATTCCATTGTTCCTCTTCAATGAGTTACCACTCCCTCATTACGCTTAACCATTGGGCAAATATCCGGCAAAGCGGTGTGTCCTGCCCAAGCCCTCCACTACACACGTTAAGTAACAACATCTCAGATGGTGGATTGACAAAGGGTTGTACTGTATTCGTCCTAGGTTGTGTTGTCACAGAGGGAGGAATCCAAGGCCAGACGTAGCGAATTTTTAATCCGCATGTTTTTCTTTTTTCAGCCGTCTTGCTTCATCGGAGCACCTGCACACCCATCAAGTTTTAGGCACGTGCCACTTCAGAGTGTACTCGCATCCCATCCCGTGACGTGAAAATCCTGTCCCCCCGTGCCAGTCCCTCAACGCTCTCTCAAGCACCGTGACCCTTCCCCCCCTACCGACCCCACAAACGAAACCAACAATTGGTGTATTTATTGACAGCTTCTAATCGATATTAGAGACTATTTTTAAATGTTCTGGTTCGAGTGGTTCTTTGTTTTCGTGAGGATTAAGTTTCTAAAGTTGACGTAACGTACGTATGTCTGTGTGGTCATGAAGATTTGGGATAAATTGGTGTTCTGTTTGTTGTGGCCGTGCAGTAATGTAAAGCGTCTCATGTGTGTACGTGTGTGCGTGACGCCGTAAAAGCTCTATCATTAATAAGAAATTAAAATAAAAGTATATGCTAACTCTATATCTTGACTATACTGTGCTGTTCAAAGTGAGATATCTTGCTGTGTAAAACGTGTCTTTAGGTTGTTGTGAGTGGTCAGAATACTCAACAAACCCACGTCCTCACATCACCGTCATGTATTGTGTACTAGACGATTTGTGTCGAGAATTTTTTTTAAAAAATCTGACACGTTGCTACAATCACAGAACTGCCACTTCCTGTTGGAGCACGGTTATTATTACTGCTAAATTATTATGAGAAATCGAGAAATGTCGCCCCATTGTTACAGATGCACACGTCTTAAGCTGGATGTCGATGTGGCACGTGGTGTTGGCGTCCTTCACATATAATCCGTCGTCACCCTCTCTTTTTTAATGAACACATCTTTATCTATTTTCTTGGAAATACCTTCGCATTGACAATTCTTTTAGCAGTCTGGCGGTTTTTGGTGACAATGTCCACGTGGGGGGTGAAGTGGTTCATTTCCTGTTTCTTTACTCCAAACTTTTTTTCCGACCGTTCGATTTGTTTTATTTGCTGTGTTTATTAAACGTGTTGCTGATTTCTGTGCTCTTAAGCAACTTTTTCTTGCTTGGCCCTGATGGACTGCAGAGAGAAACCAGGAGGTGCGCGTGGAACGTGCGAGTTTATTACAATCCAGGCTGTAGCTGGACGATGACACTGACCTATGACGCCACGGACGATATGGGGATACAGTTGCAGTAAGTAGTGCTGATCATCTTTGTTTTTGTGTTCGGTGCATTCTGGTTGTCTTATGTATGAGCATCATTTCATGAGGTGAAGAATTAATTTGGAACTCTCATAGCGGTGCGACGCGTGCTGCAGAATGGCCCATGCAAGAGATTTTTCATGGGACATCGATGAAAAATCCTTCAAGGCTCCGTATATCCTTTATCTGAATGCGTAGAGCCGCAAATGTCATGATTTCTTTGTGGGCAGGCATTGATGTGACTCCTGGAGACCATCAACTCTCTACTTGGGAACCCAGTTTCATCCTGGGCGTCTGCCCCCATCCGAACCCAGATTCTCAACAGTATAGCTCGGCGCTGTGTGGTCCCTCAACCTTGTGGCCACCTCTAAAAGTCGGCTCTGTTTCATAATTGCACACCGGGTAGCAATCCAAATGTTGCCGGTTCATTCTCCTGGCGTGGCATTTAAGTTACGTAAATCCCTACCACCTCTGTCCACCCAGCAGTATGTGAATGGATACACCCCGGATTGTCGATCGGCAGGCCGCGTGTGGTGGGGTAAAGTGTAGGTACTCCCACCTCTTGTTAGTGTGTGAGAGTAGGGCAGCCACCTTCTAGAGGGGCTCTAGAGATTGTAATGGGAGCAGTTCTGTCAGGAGTAGCGTGGACAAGCAATCGCAGGCCAGCACCTTTTCCTTTATAACAGCTAAAATGGCCACGTGGTACTGCCTGTTGCCAGAAAGTGGACATTGGACACATCCGTTTGGTATTTTGTTTGCCCGAAGCATTGCCAAAATCGCTCGCAACTAAGTTATGGGAATTTCCAAGTAACTGACTGCATTTGTGTGACCTGTTTCTTGTTTGTGTGTGACCTGTAACTTGTTTGTATGTGACCTGTAACTTGTTTGTATGTGACCTGTATCTTGTTTGTATGTGACCTGTATCTTGTTTGCCAAGGAGAAACCATCTCACAAAAGGGCTCTCGTCCAGACATGAAGGAAATGTAACTTCAGAGACAGCACCAAAACCTCGCTGTAGGTTGGGCTCCAGCTACAGGCTTCTGTGTAACACGAGCCCTTCGTTGCTTTGATCGAATGCTTCCGTAGAGATATTCTGTGCAACGTTGAGCGTGGGGTCTGTTTCACGGAGAGAATGCATTGTGATGAGGCCTGGGGTGGCTACATGCCTCTTGAGCAGCCGTTGCGTTCTAAGTGGAGTCATCTTATTCACAAGTAGCCACTTTAATTGCTTTAAACAAACCTAAAGTGAGATTTTTAAAAAAACCCGTAACTTTGTGACGGTAAGTTGTGATTCCGTGTACTTGAAAGCAAATGTGAGGGCTTAAATTATGAGCCAATGCTTGCCCATGACTGAAATATAACTACGCTCTAATTTAATTAAATATCGTAGATTTATGTGTTTCAAACGATCAGAGAGAGCAACATTACATCATGCAAACAACGGCTGCCTGTGTAGTTCTCCGATGTCCCTTCGGGTCCTACCGCGTGTCTGACGCCGGACGTGAGGCCGAACGGCACACGGGACAACCCGATAAGGATCGCCGCAGAGACCTGCAGCAGCAGCAGCAGCCGCACAGCCGCGAAAAAAACCTACGCAAGTAGTGACGGCTACGTCTATCTAAATGTTATCAATCGCGAACAGCACTTTTAATCCATAAATTGGTTGAAATATAGATTTAATGTTTAATTCTCAAGCACAGACTGAAATTATAAAAAAAACCTAGATATAGGTTTGTATTTAATTTTAAGTATTATATTATCTATGCATTGTAACTTTTCCCCGTGAAACAATTAAAAATGGCTATGTCATGTCAACTTGCGTATTTTCTGGTAATGTGTATGTGCGGTGAACAGAACTAGACAGCAAAGCGTGGTTATTAAATCAACATCCCTGCTCCCAATCAACTAATTTTGCAAATAATTTTGTGTTTTCAAAGCGTGTCAACTTTGCAACGGCACTGATTAGCTTGGAGCTAGTGCTCTGTTCCAAATGCCCTTGTAAGCACCTGAAGAACCACAAATATATTCTTGGTTCTTTCGGTAAAGTCACGTAGAAGGGACTGCAACACAAGCAATCATCATCAGGTGTGAAAACCACAGCAAGAAAATTTGAAAAAAGTGGCGTTTTTTTCACGTTAGCGCCACGGAGAGCGATTTGACAGTTTGTGCAGATGGACGAGTCCATCTATGTTCGGAAAAGAGGAGGGGGGAGACGAAAATAATGGATGCGGTCTGAAAGCCACCTTAAGTGTGATTGATTGATCACGCTTGATTGATTGATTACGTTTAAGGTGGCTTTCAGACTGCATCCATTATTTTCGTCTCCCCCCTCATCTTTTCCGAACATAGATGGACTCGTCCATTTGAACAAACTGTCAAATCGCTCTCCGTGGTGCTAACGTTAAAAAACCCGCCACTTTTTTCAAAATTTCTTGCTGTGGTTTTCATATTTGATGATGATTGCTTGTGTTGCAGTCGAAACGTCGTGAGAATTTTATTTTATATTTTTATTATTTTATTGTTTCCCTTCTACGTGACTTTACCGAAAGAACCAAGAATATGAATCCCTGCAGTCACGAAAGCTTTAAATCTAAACCACAAATATGTATTTCACTTTAGACATTTGGATTTTTTACTTGTCCTTAATTACAACACTTCGTAATGAAACCAATCAACTAGACCGTGGAAGTAACCTATTTGCCCTGCCGGGTCGTCTTTTTGGATTCGTTTTGAGATAAAAAAAATATATATATATTTGAAACAAAAAAGTGTTATCATCCCTTCTGGAGAGAACACTGTTGTGTCCAGAAGAAATATATCATTATTTTCTAATTAACTATGATTTTATGTCTGTAAACACTTTGTTTTTACTGTTTCAGTCATGTTTTTGTAATGAGACTCCAAACCATGTAAATTTTTGAAACTTTTCTTTTTGCAAAAATTATGCTTGCATTAACGTGTAGTCTGACCTCTGCCAGGCGTTGAACAGTAAAATAGTACAAGTCATTCGAAAGTGCATCGTAATTTCTGCATCGTTATGTAAACATTTTTAACTTGAGGGAATTCATTTTTTGTCAGTGGCAATGAGAGATGCAAGCATTGAAATATCTCGGGGTTTGAATCAGATGAAAAATCAGAGGCGTTAAAACGTGCTCGCTACAAACTTGAATGTTCATCCTTTTATAAAACTCCACAAAAACAATAGTCGTGGGATGCGTTTTATTGTGTGCGTATACACAATTTGACTTTAAGTCTTCCCGCAGAAAACTGGTTACACAAAAGAAAAACAATAAATTGTGGTGACGTGTTGGTTTAAATTGACTGAATTTCTGTAAGACACTTTTAAATCACAACGTCAGACAATTGTCTTTGATCGTTCATAATGAATGTTCGTGTGTTTAGCGTTACCGACGTAAAGTGTGTACAAGTAATTCGTGATTTTTAAACGTAATCTTAACTTCTAATGGAACATAAATCTGAGTAGTATCATTGCACTGAGCGATGTGAAACTACAGCTGGTTACTCGCAGTCACCTCAAAAAAAGTTATTATCATGTTCCGAGAAAATGATTATTTTCAAATCCGTTCGCTTGGTGTACTAAGAAACCAAAAACTACTATATCCTAAGGAACAGGATGAACCTTTAGTTATGGAATGTACCATCGAGTCTTAAAGATTGCTGACCTGTGAGAACATAGCGACGCCGATCTTATAATCCTGTGGGAAGTATACAACATGCACACACACCAAAGCGGTCAGAGCATTCGTGGAAAATGTGTGGTACAACACTTACGACAAACATCGTTTTAGTCCTGTCCAGCCTAAACAACGCTTACGAGTATCCTATTAGAAGTTTAGCCATCGACATTGGTCACAAGTTCATAACGTTTATATATACATCGTGTACAAAATCCTCTTCAAAGATGTTTGCCCAGCGTGGAAGAGTCAAAATTACTCCCCCGCCTCAAAGGGGCTCTCCAGAGCCCCCTCTCGTGGAGCCCCATCTGCCAGCAGTGGCACGAGTAGGAAATGCAGGCTGCGCCTCTACCTTTTACACGATGTCTGGCAATAATGGGGACAAAAATAATACTTTTTGAGGTGACGTTGAGTGTTGGCTGAGATTGAATGATTGATGTAAAACTATCTGCAATAAATGATATGTTGTGTCTCTTAAAACATTTGTGCTTTTTTTATCTGTGCTTCAAGAACAATTATACTGGATGATTGTTGCATTTGTTTGAATACATTTTTTATATACACATAATAATACAGAAATTACAAATGTGTTTTCGGGTTGTATACGCATCATGGTTCGGCAAAGATGTCCGACGTTTACCACCCCACGTGCTAAGAGCTCATTCCTAAGCTTGCTGAAGGAGCTCCCAGCACATGCAGCGAAATGTCGGACATCGTTTCAAATGGAAAGAAGCTTCCAGCGAAGTTTCTGAAGTCCCGACGAACAACACGGGGTACGACCACAAATACATCAGATATATATTTACACGGCGCAACCGGGTATCCCTACGCGGTAGTCCAGACGTAGATTACCCGGGAACGCAATGTACTGTGCACGAAACAGGTCATACATATGAATTACTGCAGTCACGAAAGCTTTAATCAAAGGTCATACTTTGGCTACCATTACAGGCCCCGTCGTTGGCACAATGTATAGTGCAATCAGAAGCTCCGCTTCAGCAAATTATGGCATCGGAGAGCCACCATAGGACGAGTTAGCAGCAGGCTCCCAACTGTTGGCATAGGAGCATGAAGGGGATTGTTACATCCAAGTTGAAAGAGCCTGATACTTTCAGATACTTTATTTAGTGCTTGTAATTGGCCAGGGTTTCTATATGCTGTGTGTACATAAAGACTGTTCAGAGTCAATCCCACAGCAATGTCTGTATTTCACTGGTCACTGGGTGGATGTTGGTTGCAATATTCAGTGGGTCTTTTTTTTCATGACCTGTCCTGGAAAACATCATCTTCCCCGATTTCTTCAATGGGCAGCATATGTGAGGGAATGCCTGAAGAGAAAGGAATATCGTGTGAATTATCATCATTATCATCATCATTAGGGGTGTAAAGATGCATCGAGTAATCAATTGCATCCACTCATACGTTATGTACATTGACTCGTGTACGCAACGCGAGAATGGATTGTTTTTGCATTGGGTCCACACGACCCCTGCCGCCACTGGAGGCCACGACACACAGCAACAGAAACAAAGCAATCACTTAGGGCTCGAATATATTTTAGGGTTGTACCAAGTGTTGTGCAGCACGGACACCCTGCCGAATATATAGAAATATATCACAATCATGAAAACCTACTTGGTGCTAAAGGAATAATCGTTGCATTAAATAGCAACCCTACTTTGAATCGTTATGTGCTTAGTCATCGTCATTGTCCAGGTGCATTACCCACAAGGCCCACTTTTCATACAAGTGAGAAGGCCGATCAGGACCTTTTGACGCCTTGGGAAACCTTTAAAATTTCCCAGGGCAGTTCCCTCAAATTCAGGATAAAACTGGGGAAACTGGGATAGGTGGCAAACCTGCTGATGATTCCCATAGTGGTACGATCTCTCTGGCTGGAGAAAAACAAACACGAATCATGGACTCGCACGGATTCTGCAACGCTGTCCGACGTGCGTCTCCACGGAAGTGTTTAATTGACATGACCCTCAGGCCACGACGTGTTTTCATATTTGCAAGATAGCCCTCTTTCACTCTTACCTGTGACTCCAAGTTGTTGTGGGCAACCATTCGGTTAATGTGGCCAATTTTCGATGGGAAAGTATAAGAGAACAACACAACTTGGCACTAAAGTTGTGTTCATACAGGGATCGTCGGTTTGAGAGTTGTCACAACCCCACGTTATAGACGGACCACAGCAGTTGCATTGATGCTTTCAACCAGAGTTTGGTTCTACCGAAATAACCAAAGAGTAATAAATAGTAATGGCGGTTACATTTACCCAATTTCACTCACCGCCCCCATTGGACGAGGTGGAGCGGAGCTGGGCGAGTCCTTCCTCGGGGTCGGACGAGCTGGCCAGGCTGTTACGAACCTGCGTCAGGGACAGGTGGGAGCACAGCGATGGCTGTCGGTCCAGGCACTTCGCCGCCTGTCGGTGACGGAGAGGGGGAGACAGAGGTCGAGAGGTCGTGGCCGGAGAAAACGGTTCGCAACGTACGCCATTGTGTTTCCCAGTTGCGTCACTCCAACCATTATTTCCTTTCGTTGAGCAAAACGTTTTGGCTGCAGGGGTCAGGTGAACTAAATACTGTGCAGAAAATAAAGAAATTATATCCTCTCCTATGTACATTTTTCATTTTAATTGGTGAATCGATGCATCGATTGTACCCATATAATCCATACGGCTGGGTCAATGGCCCACCATCACTTCGAGGTCGATTAAATAGGTACCACTATGGAGGTGAGAAGTGGGTTTTTTTCTAATGCATATGTATGTAAGCAGAAACCAAATACAGCATATAGACTTTTCATTCGCTAGATATATTCATTCATCCGTCCCTCCCATTAGCTATTAATGACAATGAGGTCAAACAAATTATACATGAGCATTATATACGTAATTGTGAAAATGAAATACGTGTGAGATTCCGTAATGAACCTTCACGGAATTTTTTCTTCGATGTTTGCTATATCGTTAACTCATTTTGCATAATTAACTTTTTTTTTTCAAACACCAACCATTATTGCCTTGTTAAATTGAGGACGTTTGTCAATTTAACACGGCTGATGAATGGCGTGCTCCATCTCGCTGCAGAGGGAATGCTGCCCATGCAGCTTCAGCAGCAGTGGAAACTCGAAACTGAAAACTCATTTCTTTAGAACTGCTTTTTGGCATTAGCTTATTTTCCTTCCCCCGCTCCGATTAGCATGGTTGGCTACGTACGGTGCTAAAGAAGTTCATACATGCATACATGGAACACGAGGGGGTGGGTGGCCAGCACCACGCCTGCCCCGGCCGTCTTTGTCTCTGCTGATGCTTACACACCGCACCAGGTGCTCATTTGAGGCTTAGCATCACCTTGATGTTGAGTGTGGGGTCGTTGAGGGAGTACAGCTTGTTGGTGATGTCCTTCCCGATGAGGTATTTGAACACTTCCTTCAGGAACGGCTCCACCTCGAGATAGAAGGTCAGCCTCTCCCGATGCCAGCACAGAAACTCGCAGTCTTCGTCGGCAGTGATCGTCACCTGCTCGTGGAATGGGAGAGCGGGGGATCGTGCACGGGGTTGCAATGCAGTCGTCGATGCATTTATCACCAGTGTTCGTTTCGTGTGCTAAAAAAATATTTTAATCATAGTGTTAGACTAGTTAATGACAACCTGTGGATTTCATGTAGTCTATCTATTTGTCTAATCAACTACAACATTCAAACATTTAGCCAAACAATTTAGTCATAAAATTTTGGTGTGAGAGGTGCACATTATTTCTCCACAACCAATTACCATGCTGGTCTTCCTCGGTATTATCTTAGTCTGCACCTTCATTCGCCTCTTTGATTATATATATTATTACCACGGTTGGCTACATACGGTGCGAAAGAAGTCCAACATACATATGTACATTTGGACTAGTTTATTTTGTCTCGTCATGGCCAGTCATGCTTTGCTCTTTTGTTGGTAGTGGTAGACTCCTCCCTTATCATGCTCTGACTTTTCCTCCAGCCAATAGTAGTAATTGTTGACTAAAATAAATAAAATTCTACCAATATTTCTGTCAAGAAATTCGTTAAAAAAAATGTGAAAATGGTCGTCGTAATCACCACGCTTCGTGTTGTCCTCTCATAGTTATTGTTGACAGGAAATAGAATAAAAGCAAGCCTTGATGAATTAATGTTTTCATCACCAACTTCGTTTCCACAGAGACTAACGCCGCTCGCCACATGCTCCGCGGTCGGCCTTGGCCGGACCAGGCCGGCGGTCACCTGGAACTTTTCTCCGCGGTGCAGCTGTGTGGAGCGGAACTCTGGCGAGTCGACGAAGGCGTTGGGGTAGATGTTGTGCAGGAAGTGATCGCGATGGGTCACCCTCATTCTGGTGGCACGGAAGGAAGGCAATACAAATCTCACGAGGTGTCCGTCCAGCATAAAACAACACCTGCCCTCAGGAGCTGGTTACACGGACAAATGGAGACAAATATTCCTAATTGTACATTTTCGTGAACGTGTTCGAAATAATGTTTAAATCCGTTCATGCGATCGGTCCGTCTGTCTGTCCATCCGTAATGAGGGGCACAGTAGCTCAACCACAGACGACCCAATATGAACCAAACCTTCGTCTTAAGATTGTGTTGCTATTACAAAGTTGCCCTTTTGTAAACTGCCCCAATTGATTAATTGCTCAATGCCCAAAACTTAGAAATAAAAACCGCAGAAAAAATATTGCAAATATGCAAAGTATTTTCCTTTGATAGCTGCTCGTATTACAAATCAAATATTATTGGAAACACACATTGGCAAAAAATTACATAACACAAGCATATGCATGATTTTCCTCACGTATTGTTGTAATGTAATTAGTATCCTGACCTCAGACCGGAATATACCAAACTAGCCGTGGCCATAGACTAACAACAGCAAGTATTATGGTACGTTTTTTGGATGGCACATTCCGATTTGTGTACATGATGTAAAGGATGCGATAAACATTCTCTTCATAAACAGGTTTCCTCTAATTTTTCTAAACATTTCACTTCAACGACATGGGCTTCATGGCAAGAGGCGGAGCAGTCATTTTGTTACTGTCACAGCGCGATGCATCACGGTGTCTGTTGGGCAATGGGCCCTGCAAGGGGATCTGGTCCAGGTAGAACCATAGAGTACGCAAGAGATTCTGACAAGTGACTTTCTTGTTAAAAATCTAAACACTAGGGGGCACACTCTTCTATACACAAAAACTCCACGGGTTGACTTACCCAGCAAACAGTGATAAGCCCTAAACCGCGACTGGACAGGGGATGGGCACGTGGTCACCCCCATCATTGATGGACAATAAAGAACGACTCGCAAAGTGACTCCTGCGGTCACAAGCGCCAGAGCATGGGTCACGTGATCCCACATTGCACCTCGCACTGCCGATTAGCGGGCAGTGTCACCGACATCCAACCAAGCCGACACAGTGGCCGTTGAACGGCTTCGAACCCTCGATAGACACAGACACAACGCTGCTTAGTTTCACCTCATTAGTTATTTTCGTTGTCTATCCAGGAAAGCCAAACCAAGTCGGAGGAGACTTTTTCCGAAGGGCCCTGTCACTATAATTGGGTTTCTATTTTAAGATGTGTTTAGCCAATTGACGATAAGTGTTTATTATACAAGTGAGAGAAAACCGGGGCACCCGGATAAAATCCACGCGCGTGAGGGGCAACGCTCTATCCCTCATACAAATGTAAACAGCGATTAGTCTACTTGCTGTCCTGCCTTTTCCTGGCGAGCCAGGAAACCGTAAAACCCCGAGGAAACCCACGCAAGAACAGGGGCATGACATACAAACTCCACACAGAAAGTGACTCGGGTCGGCAATCAAGCCCTGGCGCTTCTTGCTGTGAGCCATGATTGTTACCACTGTGCCACCTTTCCATGAAATCTCGATTATTCGACTGCTCTCACAGCAGCACTATCCACAAATATGAAGAAGGCATCGCAGCGATGCACCCCGCTGCTCCTGATGCAGCGATCCGGCTTGACCGCCTGGATGTGAAGTTGTAGTCGCTGCTCTGCGTCAACGTAAAAAAAAATTATCTACAGCACTGACCGCTTTCACAAGGTAAGAGAGAAAGGTCCGGTTGTTTTCTTGCTTGCGCCAGCGCTGGCGGAAAGGCCTCCACTCGCAAGAGCTCTAGACAGCCTCGATAGAGGGTGTTTGGCCTACTCTTCCACGCTGGCCCAGACGTCTTGGAAGACTCAGGAGCGCTCACACTTTGCCCCACCACACACGACCTGCTACTCGAACAAACCGCGGTGCACCCGTTTACACTGCTGGGTGGACAGAGGTGGCTGCTGGTGGTGGTAGGGGGTGGAGTGGGGGGGGGGGGGGCATTTAAGAAACTTGCCCCCATTGTATCACGCCGGTGGGGACAAATCTGCGTTGCAAGTGCGATCTTGCTCAGCAATGAAGAGCGCTAGCGGCAAGCGCGACTCACGGGGCAGTTGAATGCCGATCCGACTCTGCGGCACACGGACGACAACTCACTTGCCCTTGAGCAGAATGCTGAGGCGGCCGTCGGTAGACGTGCGCTCCTCCACGCTGTACGGCTGCCCCGCCGACAGCCGCATGATGGTGCAGAACTGGCCCGTGAGCGTCTGGAAGAGCTCGCGCGACACGTTGAGCGGCTCGAACAGCCGGCGGTAGACGCGCTTCAGCTCGCCGTGCACTTTCACCTGGGAGACGACCCCCGCCGGCAACACAGAGAACGAAGGTGAAGCCGGTGAGGTACACGAACAGGCGGGGTGTGTGGGCGAGCGGCCCGCACCACGCGACTGCCTCAGTCTCCCCCGGTGGCGATGTTTATTACACACCGCGACAGTTACTGATTTGAGGATAGGCAGACCTAGGGGAGTCCCAGGACCAGTTCAGATAATCATCACCGATGTTGGCCATGAGCGAGAATCGAATCGGGGTCGCTGGGTTCGCAGAGCAGCGCACTAACCACAAGGGCACACTGCCGCTCCCCACAACGACCCAGATGGCCCTCTCGCCGTTAGGTATGGTCCAAATCATCGAGGGCGATGATCCGCGATGAGCGCCAGGTTCAGCGTGGGCGTCCGCTCGTGTGAACCCAACAACACAATGACAGCCGTGGTGGGGTGACACTCACCGGGCGATTTCGGTAGAGCAGGTAGACAAGGTGCACGAGGTTTATGGCGAGCAAGATTGAATTCCACACCACGATGTCAATGGCGCAGCGGTACAACGCCGCCCACGTGATAAACAGAGCACAACCTGGAGGCGACAGGTCACCCACGCAGAGCGAAACGGCCAAGAAGCTTCGTGACACCAGCGAACCGGTGGTGCTATGATAGTGACGAGCCGGTAATTCTCTGAGAATGGGCGATGACACCAGGCACAGTTGGTATTCACAGGGGAATGCAAATCGTATTTATTTTCGGCGAAGGTAATGCCCGTGGTTACTCTGAGATTGTCACAAAATGGAGCAGCTGCGTGTTCTTTTTAATGAGGCACTCCTGTGGTGCCATCCGCTGGGGCCTTCCCGAAGGCGGTCTGGGAAGGCATTTATTCGTAATTTTAATTAAATTACAATGACAATTAAATGTTTTCATATATAAAACGTTCAAATGCCACATCATCGAGACACTTTAAAACAATAAAACACATGTAGAGGTGATAATTGACTTAAATTCAAATGACGGCTTACAGTGTTTTAAGAAAATACGTACTAAACAATTAACTATCATCAATCTTACGCAGAGGACAGTAGGTAAATGCTTTGTGTGGTGCCTTGAACTAGAAGGGAATTAGCAATACAAGTAACATGAGGGAGGAAATCCAGCGAGAACAGCAGAGAACAATGAATGACCTCCAGCGAGCAGTGTGTGAATGAAGGTGCCAATGTGAGTGTGGAGAGAGGGCCAAATGATTCCGCCAGTGGCGAGAGTAATCTAAGCAAAGGCTTTGGGCCTCAAGCAGTCCAAGGGGTCCCAGATCTGCGGAAAAAATAAGGCCGAACCAAATCTGAACTCGAATTCAAATCTCATTTCACTACATCTCGGTCATCATCTGTAGCTCTCTTCTCATCTCCCTACATCTCTATCTCTTGTTTACATCTCTCCTGTCGCCAAAAAAAATGCGTTCTGCTCAGGGCCCCCAATGAGCGAGCACCAACACCACTGCTGGACTCAACCCTCATTCCCCTCCCACCTCCCCTGCCTCCCCCCAGGGTCGTACCTGCACCCAGGAGCGTCCGAAACAACACCATGTGCAGGAAGACGGTGCTGGGCACGAGGAGGGCCAGCAGGAAGCAGGCGTTAGCGACGTGAAAGGTCAAGTGCTGCACCTCCATCCACGCCACGCACGGCTCGCCCTCGTCGCCCGAGGTGGCGTTGGGCGACGACGAGGAGGAGGTCGCCGCGGCGCCACGGTGAGCGGCGGGCCCCTGCGCGTCGACAGACGCCGTGCCCGCCAGGGGCAGCGCCGTGGAGGAGGCGGCCAGACCCAGGAGGCCCCTCAGAGTCGACGCGGCCACCAGCGAGGCGGCGGAGGCGGCGACGTTGCCGCCGCCCGCCGTGGGTGGCTGTGCTGCCATGCTTCGCTCTTGTGGTCCTGATGGTGAATAATAACACCGCTGTGAGTTGACGACGATGGACGGTTGCTCCACAGCTAGCGACACGCACCGGGCCACGCTTGGAAGTTTGGGGAGTCCTCTCACACGAACGGCTCTCGGTGGTTATTGATTGGATCACAGAAAGCATCCAGGACGTTCCAACACTCCTTGCACTTTGTCGCGAATGAGAGGAGTTCTTCTGAGCTATCATTATATTAAGGCTACACAACTGCTGGATACTGACTCGCATACCCAGCGTACTGTTAATGGGGATATTTAAAGGTTCCGTATTCAGCATGATCGGCATTTATGTCGCCTTGTAAAAGGGAGAAAAATGCGGATTCATACAAGGATTTTTGTCCTGGTATGCGTTCTGGTGTCCAGACACTCACGACACTCCCAGTGGCTATGCCCCTGCCAAGCAAGGAGCTTCAGTCGAGTGACGAGCGATGGTGCCATCTGTTTTGCTGGTTTCAAATATGTGGGTAACTGAAGCCTTTATTCTAATTGCTCACATGGGCTTCCAGCTCGTCAGATGTCGACACGCATCTGATGTAACAAACGACTCAACACATTCGTCAATGACATCGTGTGTGTGTGTGCGGCCTTAAAAGGAAACATACATAACAGACGACGTTTTGGGCAATAGCCCTTCCTCATAGCACCGTGGCCCTTCTTGTTAGGCACATAATATGCCTAACAAGGCCACGGAAGGCATTCCGTGGTTTTCCACTTTGAAGCTGAAGCTATAACGCAACTGATTCAAATAAAAAATGCCATGTTTGTATTGAATAAGTTGAGTAACTCACCGTTTTCCAAAACGTAATTCTCTCTCTCTAACGGGCACGACTGGCATAGTGTGCTGTGGTGAATGCACCGATTTCACAGTGGGGCCTGATTACAACTTGTCTGGAATTAAATTGAATCCAACATGGGCTGCTTGACTAAATCGTGACGGAATTCGTTTACCAAAAATACTCGAGGGGACTGTGCACATTCTCATCCTGCTCGTGGGTAGGATACATTTGTTGGAAGGATGTACACACCTGAATCCATCCCATCTACCGAAAAACTTTGATTCAAATAAATGTCACTTAAGTACAAAAAATGTCAATACACTGCTGGATGAAGGCCTCCACCATGTCAGCTGTGGAGGTCAATACAGGTTGGTATAAGAAAGGTGGAGGGGGGGGGGTTAGGGGTCATACATCAGCAATGGTTCAAATATTACACACCGCTGATGTTACCTGTAGTCAGGAATCAAACTCAGTTTTCCAGGTTCTTTACACTAATCAATACACCGTTGTTCCCCGGCAAATGGCAATTATTTGAATGAAAAGTGCATTGGTAAGCCATTACCCATCTGTTGCAAATGAGACTTGCTCCTTGCTGATGTCCAATCAGGGCCAACCAACCACTTTCACCAAATGGATTTAGGAGAAGTTTGTTTTATACAAATCGACCAAATACAATCTTGAATATCGAAAGCGTTGTGCATATAGCCAAAATAAAACGAAAGTTATCCCACGACGAGTTTATTAAGCGAATGAAGATATTTGTTGCAGAATCACAACTGGAAAAGCACATCGGAGTATGGAACCTTACGCAATCAATGAAGACAGTTCAGTATCAAGATGTTGAATTAAAGCGGCGAGCGAGAGCAAGTTGCATTCGGAAAATTAAGCGTGACGATGAAAATCAGCATGGTGATGTGTCCAAGGAAGAACATTCTAAACCAATGCATAATACCTCCGACTAAAAATGTATTGGAATAATGAACAATGGAAAACATATACAGTACACAAAATCTTAAAAGTGCCTAAAGACACATGCTTACTCATGATTACACATGGAGATAGGAACACCTGACATTGCATCGCACAGAGACGGTCACTGCATCGCGTGCTTTCAGATGCGCTTCTTTGGCCGTCTGGAACGCTCTTCCTTCCGATATAAGGAGGCCACTGGAGCTATGCACTTTTAAATCTAAATAGAAAACTAATTTGTTTAGAACTGATTGTTGTCCGCCCCCCGCACCTCTCATTAGCACGGATTGCTACGGAGTTCAACGTTCATGGATCAGGGAACAAATGCAAATTACAACCTCCGAAAAGACCGTTGAGAAAAGTAGGTGGGCTTGAACAGAGACACGTCTCAATGGACAGCGATCAGCGGTCAAGCCTGACCACAGAGTGCAAGCCAAAGCAGGGAGCACGCCCCAAGAGAACGGCGGCCACCGAGACTGAGCGATGGCGTCAGCTTGCGTGCAAGCGCTCGCTGCGGTTTGGCATCGCAGGAGCACGAGGGATGGCACATTCATCTAGCAGTGGATAGATAATGGCTTCTAATGATGATTGCACATCCGGTGACTTTAGTTGGCAACGAAGAATCTCCATTATAGATTTGTAGAGACGATTTGAGGAAGTGATGTTAGTGGACACCTATGAAGGGCGGCACGGCACAAGACGGGGTTGGGTGGCTGACACCACCCCCGGCCGCATTAATCTCCCAAATCTTCACACGGCGCACCCAGTACTTATTTTAAGGCTCAGGAATGGTTCAGATATTGGTTCTGTTCATGGTCGTGAGCGGGACTCGAACTCGGATGCCTGGGTCCGTAGCACAGTGCGCCAACCTCCGCCGCTGTTCTCCACGTTAGCCCACACACACGGGTATGACGCACACACGCAGATGTAAGAGTATAAATAAAATATAAGTTACACCATTGATTACAGTAGCATTAATAAACTGGTGTAATGTGTCAGCCTCCATTTTTTTCTGCATTCCCCACAGCTTATTATTAGTAACAATTTAAAAACTGAATTCCAGCCGGTCTAGTTTTGGAAGTACACGATAGTTTCAGTCTTGAGATGACAGTAATAATTATCCTGAAAGTGGCATCTCTGTTACTGGCCTTTCACTGGATCTGGGCTTGCGAAGTGATTGTTCAAATCAACAGGGCGGTGATGTACTGCGTCTGCACTGCCTTTCAAATATGATGAGCCTTCAAACACAAAACCACAAGGACCAGAACCAAGCCCAAATCATTCCATGCCAGATGCTCAGTTATAATCGACGCATATCTCAAAATTAAGGCAATCAGGTACAGCGACAATATTATCTCAGTCTCGCATCATAGAGACACAAACGTATCCTCAACTATGACGGTCTGACATGGCGTGGCATGTCTCCTGGCTACCCTTAGCAAGCGGTTTTTAGGTGGGGCAGAGTGGTCAGCCCGCTCTGTTGGAACGAATAGCATGCAACTTGAGTTCGATTACCAGCCATGGCTAACATCGGTTGAGATATTTCTGAACCGGTCTTTGGTCCGAACTTCACCAACGGCGGTGGTAATGATGTTGGTGGTGATGATGTTTATGGTGGTAGTGATGTTGGTGATGTTGGTGGTGCTGATGTTGGTAGTAATGATGTTAGTGGTGATAATGCTGATGGTGGTGATGTTGGTGGTGATTTTGGTGGTGATGATGGTGCTGATGTTGGTGGTGGTGATGTTGGTGCTGATGTTGGTGGTGATGATGGTGGTTGGTAATGATATTCATTTACAGATGAAGTCGATTGCTGCCGCTGACTTCATCCAGCAGTGGATTTACAAAGTGCTGTTCTGGATTTATTTTGAACGGATGATACCTTTATGGACACCCCGTAGTATACATAGCTTTATGTAATTTAACATATACAATTCTCACAATATTACAATTATTTAAACTTGAAACGCACTGCTCAGTATTCGCTCACTCTCAACGGCTCAGATGCGCGAAGAACCACAGACGAGCAGGAAGTAAGTAGCCAGGGGGTTATCCAGTGAGAACAAAAATTGTCCAAGCTCTGCGGCCCTCCATATATTGAGATGTTTTCAGCCAATTAACGAGTGCTTATACACGTGGGAGGAAATCGGAAAACCCACGTCGTGCGAGGTGGCGACACTCTATCCCATACACACGTCACAGGTCGAGTCCACATTTTTGCTGCGCCCCATTCTCCTGGCGAGTCAGGGTATAGCAACCTCCTTGACGCCCCCGGGAAGGGGGTTTCCAAAACATTTGTGTGCGGTGATCCAACAACCGTCGCTACCTCCACAGTGCTGGATAATTACAGGCGTGCGTGGCCACCCGCGCGCTCGTCTGGTGTATACCGATGGGAAGCCCCAAGAACCAATTTGAAACTGCACGGTTCGGCGCTGGGGAATTGAAGGCGCGCATTGGACATATCTGCTCACCGGCAGCTGGCACGACCTATTAATAGTGGGGGCTCAAAAAAGCCCTTGCGCCGTGACATATGCAGGATCTATGAGCACGGCCCGCTCCCAGAGCCACTGCTATGTGCCGGTCACTGCAGGGAGGACCCAATGTTGGTTGAAATGTTTTCATTGTGAGCTTTAAGGAGCACTTGTTTTTGGTGCAGTGCATGTCTTATGCGACAGCGAGGGGACCAGGCATGGCCACACCCGGTGTGTTGAGTCTATGGGTCTCTGTGTGGTGAGTCTATGGGTCTCTGTGTGGTGAGCCTATGGGTCTCTTTGTGGTGAGTCTATGGGTCTCTGTGTGGTGAGCCTATGGGTCTCTTTGTGGTGAGTCTATGGGTCTTTGTGTGTTGAGTCTATGGGTATCTGTGTGGTGAGTCTATGGGTCTCAAAAAAGATATTAGGAAGCCACTGAAGCTAGATTGAAAACTCACTTATTTAGAACTGCTTTTTGTGTTTAGTTTTATGTCCTTTCCCCGCATCTCCGATAAGCACGGTTGGCTACGTACGGTGTGAAGGAAGTTCCCACCTATCGACTGACTGTGTTGTGTATCAATTGACACTGCTGTCTAAACGGGCAGCGGGGGGGGGATAACAAAAATTGCCCCCTATCTTTCAACTGCCCCTCCGGGAGATAGAAACAGGTCGACCTCTGGACTGTCCAGTGTGCTCTACCATTCATATATGTTGAGCTTCTTTCGCACCGTACGTAGCCAACCGTGAGAATCGGAGGTGCTGGGAAGGACAACAACACTAAACACGCAAGAAGTGGTTAATTCGAGGATGATTGTGATGATTTACAGTATGTCAAATTACTAGCGATAATGAGGTTGATTTGTAGATGATTCATGATTATTGCTGCCGATTATTCAACGACTTCCAACAAATAGACATGGATGTTTAAACATCACAAACGCTTTCATTTCAAAGGTCTATCTTTTAAGCGGTGTTTAAGACAATAGGAAATAGTCACCATCATGATTGGTATCGATATTATACAGCGACAGAGGGAATACTGGCACACTCACCTGTACAAGCAGTGTCACACTCACCTGTACAAGCACTGTCACACTCACCTGTACAAGCACTGTCACACTCACCTGTACAAGCAGTGTCACACTCACCTGTACAAGCAGTGTCACACTCACCTGTACAAGTACTGTCACACTCACCTGTACAAGCAGTGTCACACTCACCTGTACAAGCACCGTCACACTCACCTGTACAAGCACTGTCACACTCACCTGTACAAGCAGTGTCACACTCACCTGTACAAGCACTGTCACACTCACCTGTACAAGCACTGTCACACTCACCTGTACAAGCACTGTCATACTCACCTGTACAAGCAGTGTCACACTCACCTGTACAAGCACTGTCACACTCACCTGTACAAGCACTGTCACACCTGTACAAGTACTGTCATACTCACCTGTACAAGTACTGTCACACTCACCTGTACAAGCACTGTCACACTCACCTGTACAAGTACTGTCACACTCACCTGTACAAGCACTGTCACACTCACCTGTACAAGTACTATCACACTCACCTGTACAAGCACTGTCATACTCACCTGTACAAGTACTGTCACACTCACTTGTACAAGCAGTATCACACTCACCTGTACAAGCACTGTCACACCTGTACAAGCACTGTCACACTCACCTGTACAAGCACTGTCACACTCACCTGTACAAGCACTGTCACACTCACCTGTACAAGTACTGTCACACTCATCTGTACAAGCACTGTCACACTCACCTGTACAAGCACGGTCACACTCACCTGTACAAGCACGGTCACACTCACCTGTACAAGCACTGTCACACCTGTACAACTACTGTCACACTCACCTGTACAAGCACCGTCACACTCACCTGTACAAGCACTGTCACACTCACCTGTACAAGTACTGTCACACTCACCTGTACAAGCACTGTCACACTCACCTGTACAAGCACTGTCACACTCACCTGTACAAGTACTGTCACACTCACCTGTACAAGCGCTGTCACACTCACCTGTACAAGTACTGTCATACTCACCTGTACAAGCAGTGTCACACTCACCTGGACAAGCACTGTCACACTCACCTGTACAAGCACTGTCACACTCACCTGTACAAGTACTGTCACACTCACCTGTACAAGCACTGTCACACTCACCTGTACAAGCACTGTCACACTCACCTGTACAATCATGGTCACACTCACCTGTACAAGCACGGTCACACTCACCTGTACAAGCACCGTCACACTCACCTGTCCAAGCACTGTCACACTCACCTGTACAAGCACTGTCACACCTGTACAAGCACTGTCACACTCACCTGTACAAGCACTGTCACACTCACCTGTACAAGTACTGTCACACCTGTACAAGCACTGTCACACTCACCTGTACAAGCACGGTCACACTCACCTGTACAAGCACTGTCACACTCACCTGTACAAGCACTGTCACACTCACCTGTACAAGCACTGTCACACTCACCTGTACAAGTATCGCGCTGCTGTACAACCGGATAGCAATGAAGCCGAATGAAATAGAATCGGGGAACAATTCATCACGATGATCCCGGCAACACGGGTTCGACTCCCTGCTCGGCCTAAATACCATCAGCAGCGAATGGTCGTGAGCCCCCCCCCACCCCACTGACCAGCGGGGTGAAGTATGGTCAAATAACCCCTCGTAACCGACACGACTCCATGACCTGGAGATGCTTCCATCTCGCAGTAGATTTGGAAAAGTTCCGTCCGTACATTGCCGTTGCTGTATGATAGACAAACATCTACTTACACACAAGTGCATCAACATTAGCGTTTGGTTCTTATGATTAAAATACAAGAATTAAAACACTCATCACCAGTGTCTATGTTATTTGAGCTACACTTTTAAATGTTTAAATACATCTATAGGCTATTGCACATAGATACTGTAGTTCACTATACAGCACCATACAAAAGGCAAATTCTACAATACAGCAGCGTCGGTCTTCAGTGTTGCGCTGTGTCGCTCCCGTGCGTTTTCGGGGTGTGCGGCGTGCTGTTCGGCACTGATGTCCGACGTTTCGCTGCATGTGCTCTGTGGGATCCTCTGAACAATTTATCATGAACCGAAACAGCCCGTCAAGAAGAAGCCTTCATAGAGCACGTGCAGCGAATCGTCGGACATCAACGCCGAACAACACCGCGGTAGCAACCCGAAAAGCACAGGCGGGAGAGCGGCTCGACATTCTAGAACGCTCAACACTTACCGGGGGCTCTGGGCAGCAATATGCCAACGCTGCTGCTGGTGGTGGTGGTGCTGGTGCGTTGACTGCCCTGGGCTGTGCCGCGCGCGACTCTCTCTCTCTCTCTCCGTGAGCGTCCGCGCGCTATTTTAGGATGGACAAATGCGGTGTGCTGGGGCAGAGTTGGCTAACGTCGGTGGTGTGGGACGAGTGGAGAACGTGTGCTTGTCCTGCTGCTCGGAAGGAGGAGGGACGCACACGCGTGTTCTTCCCGTGTCGCGGCCAAGCGCGCGTGGAGTTTGCGTCGACACTAGATGGCGACCTCATTGCGAGTGCACAGATACAGCCACTGCGCGTGGCCTTCATAGGGAAATGCACGTGCAGGCAGGCCTCGCTTAGCGAGCAAGATGCGTTCCTGCAGAAGTGAGGAGCGCTAATCGAATCGGCGTTGAAAGGGGGTCATTATCCCAGTGTATGTGTGGGGATGCGTTCCCGACATCAATTTCTTTCGTATGAGCGCTACTATTCAGGGTAACCACACTAACAACGCAGATGGTGACGTTTTCATTTTAAATACTAATTTATTATAACATCAGTAACTATTCTGTATTGTACTCGCGAGTAGCGGAGGGAGTCGAGGTTGGAGCAGCTGCTGCTTGATGCTTGCTGCGCTCCCGTCTGCGACATTCTTAGAGAAGAGCCCCAAGGCCTCCGCAGGGTTCTTCGTGATGCCCTCAATCCGAAATTCTGTGGTGAGGTTCCTTTGAGGTGGAGCTTGAGACTATCCAGGTCGTGTGTGTTCTCATCTGGATAATTTATTTTAGTAAGCATTGAATTCTGACTAGGAAGCGTGATAATCGATACGACTGGGATGGGCTCTGGTTGGCTCAGATTGGCTGAGTGAATGTAAACAAAGTTGGGGTGGGTGGGGGTGTTTACTCGGCTCGCGCTGCATGTTCTCAATCCTGTGCACTTTGTAGATTTTTTTGTTCATTTCATTTTTTAGTGGTAATCTTTTTCTCCAGGACATCTGTGAAAATTTGCTTCTTGGCTCATCGGATTCCTCCAGTCTAAATAAAGATGCAGATTGTGAGCGCTATAACGAATCGGTGCTCTATGGGTTGTCTCTAAGCGAGGTCTGTCTGAATATAATAGGCAACGTTTCGAACAATGGCTTCATCAGAGCACGCACAAGATTTACGATTGTTTCGATTCATCGCAGCGAGTTGGAGCCGGGGTTGGTGCACAATCGCTGAGCTGGCCCCGACGAGAGCCTGGGTTTGAATCCAGATTTAATCCGCCTCTGGCTAAACCGGGTTCTCGAGTGTGGTGACTTAATGGGCGCAGCCCATTCACTCGTCACTGCACGACAATACACAGTTTGGTTCTTGCACTTAATTGGTGTAAATGCCAGCTCTGCAATTCGACTCTCATGCGGCGAACGATCGTTGTCACCTGCAAAGCAGCTGAGAAAGTGTTTCCTTCTTGATGTGAGGGTCAGAGGTAACGTGAAGAGATCTGAGCGGTAACTCTGTGATATCCTCTTCCGGGGGCCGGTCTCTAACGTGAAGGGTTGCACTGCTCTGCGAGAATTTTGAATGGATTACCCAGCTCATGACATGATCGCAGTGCATTCCTGGCACGTGTTCTGCAATTGCTAATATCCTTACTCTTTGGTTCTATTCGATAAAGTCACGTAGGTAAAAAATAAAATAACAAAAATCACGACGTTTCGGCCACAACACAAGTGGCCTTCATCAGGTGAAGGGACCGTGCTGTCATGAGGACAGCGTTGGAGTGAAAACAGTCAAGCCCAGGTCGCGTCCTTTAAGCTGTGTGGGAGGAAGCAAAACGCTTGACAAAGGAATTAGCATAAAAATGAGCACGATGTACGTAGGAGGTGCATGGGCCATGATGGACCAGGAGCGGGGGGGGGGGTAGTAGAGTGAGCGAGTGGAGTGAGTGATTGGAGTGAGTGGAGTGAGTGGAGTGAGTGAGTGGAGTGAGTGAGTGGAGTAAGTGGAGTGAGTGGAGTGAGTGAGTGGAGTGAGTGGAGTGAGTGAGTGGAGTGAGTGAGTGGAGTGAGTGAGTGGAGTGAGTGAGTGGAGTGAGTGAGTGGAGTAAGTGGAGTGAGTGAGTGGAGTGAGTGGAGTGAGTGAGTGGAGTGAGTGAGTGGAGTGAGTGAGTGGAGTGAGTGAGTGGAGTGAGTGAGTGGAGTGAGTGAGTGAGTGGAGTGAGTGAGTGGAGTGAGTGAGTGGAGTGAGTGGAGTGAGTGAGTGGAGTGAGTGAGTGATCCTGTGCATTATGCTACATCGATATATTTCCGAAATGTGGTTTACAAAGAAAATACATTTTCCTGGATTAATGGTGCAGAAGAAGAACAATCAATATTACTTCCATAAGAACAAATATGATAATTGTATACACGTGCTTGTGTTGATAATGAGGTTTTCTGCAAAACATAACTCGTCACATCTACTGTAAACCCTGCCCTTGTTAACAGCACAATACATTCTAGAGATTGTACAACAAAAAACTCGACTTATACCCATGGCTCAGAGCCTTAGACTTCACCTGGATCTCGTCTAAAGGTAATGAGTAAAGGCGCAGCCCCGCATGTGCTTACTCACACCACTGCTGGCGGAACGGCCTCAGCCAAGTTGGAGCTCTAGAGAGCCAATTCTAGAGGGTACTTGGCCTATTCCTCCACTCTGGCCAGACGTCTTGGAAGAGGTGTGAGAACCCACAGTTTACCCCACCACACGCTGCCCGCCGACCGTGGTGGTACCCATTTCTATCCTGCTGGGTGGACATCGCCGTGGTGATGTAAGATACTGGCCCCTTGCTCGAACTGCCGTGACGAGAGATCGAACCGGACACATCTCATCTGCCTCCGCTAGGGGGAGCTCTCAACAGCCAATATCGAGGTCTACTTTTTCACATTGACCAGACGTTTTAAATGTTGGCTTAAAACTTGATTGCAGGAATTCATATTCTTTGGGTCTTTCGGTAAAGTCACGTAGATATGTTGAAAGAAAATAACAAAAAAAACGACGACGTTTCGATCACAACACAAGCGATCGTCATCAGGAGGAGGAAAGAGTAAACCTGCTGAGGCAGGCTGTTTTAAAGGTGTATAATGGGTGTAGCCCAAGGGTCATAAACAAAGTGGGCGGGCCTAGTGATGTTAATGTGAGAAATTAGCATGTTAATGTGAGAGATTCGCATGTTAATGTGGGAGATTATCATGTTAATGTGGGAGATTAACATGTTAATGTGAGAGATTCGCATGTTAATGTGGGAGATTAACATGTGAATATGAGAGATTAGCATGTTAATGGGAGATCGCAGAGCCGCTGCCGCGTCAGCGCGCGAGGTGGCTGTGTTAGTGTGAGAAATGTAACTTGTTCATGTAAATTCAGAGATCCGAAAATAACGACTAACATCGGAAGGTTGGGTGGTTAATAACGTCCTGCCAATGATTGCTCTTCTCGATTGAAGTTGTGTCGATAAATATGGCTGGCTTCATGAACGAATCTTTGTTGATAGGCAGTGGGTTTGCAAAGTACCTTCGTCTTAGAGAAATCAATTTCGTGTGAGCCCACCGCATTAGAACAATGATCAGCCACGGCCGAGGTATTGGTCCTACCGTGTTTCAGATCTGCCTTAATCAGTGACGATATTGTTGGTTTTCGTAACGAGGTGGTTGGTGGGATCCCTTTAGAATAGGTGGGAAACTCCACACTTTACCCCACTCTACGTGACCTGTCAGCCGACTAACTACCGCAAAAATAAATTAGAAATGCAGTGTACTGAATTTGTCTACCTTTGTAACACAGCCGTGTTCTGCATTTACAAATATTAAAAACATATACATAGATACTAGACATTTTTCCATAGTTTAATCTTGCATCGATTCATAAATTCAAATACCGATTAATTATTAAGCTCATGACACATGCATTGGTTTGACGTACGCAAGAATTGACGATCTTCCATTGTATGTATGTTGAACTTCTTTCGCACCGTACGTGGCCAACCGTGCGCATGTGCATAGTGTACTCTCGAACCCACTTGGTATATGATCACATCCAGAGGAATGTTGAAAATCAAGCAAAATCTGACAAATTTGTACGACGTTTCGCTGGCGATTACGACCAGCATCATCAGCGGTTCGCAAAAACTCTGCTCCCGCTCCGCCGTGTTTGTGCATCCCACCTTCAATTAAACCAGATGTTCGAAACCGGAAAGTGAGAACCTGATGTGACGGTGACGTCAGGTCCCTTTGGAACGCACGGGGACCTGTGTTAAATATACACACGGCTGCTATCACGAGACCTCAGAATAACATTGCACGGCTTGCTAGGGGCGTGAAGACCGCAGATGGAGCTTTGATGGAATCCTGTAAGGTCAGGATGCCGAACGTCCTTGCGTGCTCGATGCCACGGGGGACGATTGTTCCACAGTGGAACATCGTCGCTTTAAGGTGAACCGAGACAACTTATACCCAGTGGCCTTGCTATCGAGTGCGCAGGCGGTGCAACTGCACTCGGACCCAAGCGGCCTCATTTCATTGCTTCCTCCAGGGCCCATGCCAACCACGCCTCGCTACTGATCTTGCCTGACTACCTGGGTGGTGGGTGGAGAGAGAAGATGGAGTGAAGGGGAATCAAAAGGCAAAGGGTCAGCTTCAGATGTTAACAAAATTGACCCGAAAACAATTGTACTAATGGGGACACTGCCACTCACTCTCTAACCCATTACAGCTACGTCATGTTACAAGCATTAATGCATACCTCGGTGCTCTTGTGTATCACGTGGTGTCACTCTAACTCTCGTACATGTGACCCAATGTAATTTAAACGTTAGTATTAAGTTGTGTTACTATTAAGAAGTTAACCTATATTTTTCAAATAGATGCTTCGAGGACAAACACATGTAGGAAAATATTACAGAGCCCATGAGCCTGGGTGACATTTGTTCGCCTGGGCCAATGTGTCTCCATTCTGAAGCCAGCATTGTGCGTTGCTCGTCTCCGTTGTGTGCTCTGAGTGGTGGAAATTCCACATTCATATGGAACTGGGGGCCAGTTTATCCACAGGACAGCAAGTGTTGGGATGCTACAAATTGCTCGTTTATTTATTGACTCCATTCAAAACCATCACTTTACCCTACATTGCGGGGATCGCAAAAAAGATCTCCAAAATCTTGAATAAACACAAGATCCAGGTCCGATTCAACACATTACATAAAATCCGTGATCTGGTTCCGTCTGTAAAAGATGTGATTCCGGACATACAATACCCTT